ACCAAAAAACCCTTTCTCCTGTTATCAAGATGGTAACTGTTAGGGCCACTCTGTCTTTTGCTGCAATGCGTGCTTGGAAGCTATACCAAATGGATGTCTTCGACGTGATTCTTCAAGGTGACTTGGAGGAGGATGTATACATGTTGCCACTTACGGGGCTTGTGAGTCAGGGGGAGTCTCACAAGGTTTGTAAGTTGCCCAAGTTCTTGTATGGTCTGAAACAGGCCTCCCGGGGGTGGAACTTGAAGCTAAGTGAAGCTCTTGTAGCCACAGGATTTCAACATAGACACCATGACTATTCTCTTTTTACCAAGCAGGGCCGGATCAGGTGCTCATCTTGGTCTATGTGGATGACCTGCTCATCACATGGTCCTCTCAATCTCTAATTTTTGATAGCTAGTAGTTTTCCATAAATTTATCCATTGCCATAACACGTATTTGTAAAAGAAGTATATCAGTTTCTTAAGCAAGAATTATAATAATTGTAAAACATCTCAAAACATGTCCTAAGAAACAGATCCTCATATTATTTTCTTTTTTTGGTAATTAGGATAGTATTATCATATAAACTTAACAGTCATTATAAAACATCAAAGTCAAATTATTTTTAGTTGCTTAATTAACAAATTATATGAAAGTGAAACTACTCACGTCCTTATTTCATAGTAGTATAAATGGAGGGATCATGTGAGATTCTCAGAAAACAATAATGACTTCTACAACTAGCTAGAAAGATTTGATCATAAGAAGTCCAAATGTCCCACCAATATTTCTAATCCATAAATCTTGGAAGTCAAAAAGAAAATATGGGTTGTTAGGGATAATGACGTTTAAATATGGTGTATATATTATTTTTCTATAATATAATGAGATGCTCAAATATGATTACATGGGGCTGCTCTTAATTTTCTTATAATTTATAAAATGCTATGATTTACATAAACTGCTCGTTAGAAAACAAATCTATTTACTAATAAATGATTTTTTTCAGTTCAAACACCCTCGGTTAAGATCCAATTCGACATGATTTATTCCATTCTACATGCAAAACAACTCCTTTTTTTTCTTTTTCCTTTTTGCATCAAAAAAATGAAAAATATATGTTGATACTAGATAGATTTACCGATTTCTTGGAGATCTGTCAATTGTCCGAATTACAAAAATTTCACTCACTGAGCTATTCCGAAGTTTGTCGGTCGGTCGGACGCAACGATTTTGATCGAATTTCTAGTAGTGTCAAGTTCGCAATCGATCTTTACTTTACGGTATAAAGCTCAATAAAATCATTCTTTCCTTTGCTTGTCTACTTTAACATCCTTACTATCATTGTTTTCTTACTCATTTAGTCTAATCATACGATTCACTCAACTAAGCTCTTGAACTGATTGTTAGTGACCTCATTAAATATAAATTCAGTTTTTTATCATGGAACTATTTTTGGATTAAACATCAATGCCAGAAAGACTAAATATGCGTCAAAAAGATTAGTTTCTCCCCTGCGGCACCAACAAAGTTACAAAACCTACTTAATCTTTCATTGATGAACCTTAAATCTTAGAAGAAATTGTAATACCAACGCTCTCACTTAGAGTTGTCAATTTTTAACTAACAAAAATAATAGACATACTCGACAAACTAAAACTAATATGATCCATCTAAATTTCTTAATAGACTGGTCACTTAGATCCCTAAAGCATATAGTAGCACTTTATATTTGTGATTATGCGCATCAATTCTGCACTTTATATTTGTGATTATGCGCATCAATTCTGCACTTTATATTTGTGATTATGCGCGTCAATTCTTTCACTCACTTCTACATTAATTTTATAAGTTGTGTACGCAGACCTTACCCCTACCCTGGGGTAGAGAGGCTGTTTCCAAATAGAAACTCGGCATCCTTCCCTCCAAGAACTTCCCACCTTGCTCTTGGGTAGACTCGAACTCACAACCTCTTGGTTGGAAGTGGAGGTTGTTTACCATCAGAACAACCCCTCTTGTCAAGGAAAGGACAACATATTTATCATAATTAGATTATCCTTCTTGTAGAAGGAAATTATAAACCTTCCATATTTGGCTAGTCCCTTTTCTCGTAGAAAAAAGGTTTGGAGTTCTATAAAATAAAGATTTGTCCTTCTCATTTATTAGCATCCACAATGTAGCCATATGGGCTTTGAGAGTCGTGTTTAGGGGAGAACTTTACGGGACAGGTGTTAGTGTCTCACTTGTGTTTGCCTCTTCGTGAGGTTGTTCTCTCGATATTTTGTACTCTCTTTTATTATAGTGGATTGCTCATGTCCGTTGTAGATGTAGGTCAGTTGACCGAACCACGTTATATGTTTGTGTCTCTTTTCATATAGTTCTCTTTTGTTATCTGATTTATGGTCGCTCAAGGTTTGCTTGCTAGCTTCTGCACTACACTTGATTTTTCGGTCCTAACAAATAAGGGAAGAATGTAAACTCAAATGGGTTAGCAATAGTCGGATTCAAACACATAATAATTGATAAAATTCGGATTGTTGATATTTGATCACTGACCTATTCCAATAGGATAATTTGAATCTCTTTTTTTCATACTAAGTGAGGTTCATGACACCTTCATTAATTGCATGATAAATGACTGTTTTATAATCCTTAAATTCTTAAATCATACAGGAAATTGTTAGTTATTTTCAGTAATTCAAAATTTAAATTTGAAAAGGTGTCATCCATTCTCAAGGGATGCATCTAATCTTGGAAATGCGTGGTAGTTAATTTTTTCAACTCCTTATAAATATTATTCACTCTGTCCCAATTTATATGGCGGAGCTCAGATTTCGAGGGTTAAATTTCCTATGTGACCGTGAATTCGGACATAAAATTTTAAGTTTCTAAACAAAATTTATATATTGGAAACTACATAAAAGTACTATAAATCATAATAATTAACAATTCAAAATATCTACTAATAACATATATAAAAATTACAATTGAGGAAAACTCGACTCTCGAAATTCGAACTCCACCCTATAAATTAAATTGGGGCGGAACGAGTAACATTTTGTGTACTTTGAAAAACCAGTCCAGCACTTTAGAAATTCCTACACTTCAAAAATTGCAACACTTGGAGAAATTCCTGCTCTGGAATATTCTAGTACTTTGAGAAATTCTGCACTGAAAAATTCCAGCACTTGAAGAAATTCCAGAAGTGAAAAATTCCAATATCTGAAAAATTCCAGCACTTGCAAATATGCATTCTTTGGCTAATCTTTTATCCTCTTCTAGAATCCATCTTCTTTGTTCACTCTAATTTCTACACAAAAAAAAAGTTGAGAGTTAAGAGTTACCTAATACCAATTGATGAATATGAAGATTAGTAATAGAAATTAACAATAAGATAAAGCAAACCAGTATTTAAATGAAATTCAATCTTCGAGCTCGGATACCCTCAAGCTGATTGGTATAAGAACAGTTAAAAATATAAGCAAGCTGATGAACAAGAGAGTATAAGCTAAAGAGAAAGTGTTGTATTGTTTTGATATGAGTTAATCCAAGTATCTTACAAATGATTGGAACTCATCTTTATATAGTAGAGGAATCCTAATTATAGTATAACTCTAATTACATAAGGAAATCCCATGATTAGCTAATTAATTGTCCTTGATTTGATCCGTTCCAAGATTTTCTCCATGATCTTCGATCAGCCACGGATATCTCGTCTTTCTGTTATTATGCTACCTTCGATGTTGCTCGATTTCTGTCTCATTCGGTCTCAATCACTACCGGTCTCGCCCTTGACAGGTACCTCGAATCTTCGAACTTGATATCTTGTTCTCGTACCTCGGTCTAATCTATTACGGGATCGATCTTTGATCCTTCACACCTGTCTCAATAAATCAGTAAAATCGGATGGATCAGATTTTAACCATATACATGTATATTGGTAAATTATATTTGGAACATCGAAAAATTGTATAGAAGTAAAAATTCGTACCTACTTTAAATAAGTGTGCAGCCTATTGAGGTGGTAAAGAGGGTTCAAAATATATGGAAGGTGTTGCGTTTGAATCCCAGTTGTGGCGCATGTACATTTATTATTCTTACCTTTGTTTTTTTCCTATTTCACCTTTTTCTCCTTAAAATCAATAAAAATTATTCTACAGACTTGCCTACTTAAAAAACTAACCTATCTACAAAGTGAATTTTGGGTTTTTTCTTCAAATTTTGATAAAACATGAAAGTATATTTGTTTAAATTATTTAAGAACAAAAAAAGTGATCAAACCCTACTTGTCCTACCCGACACTACTTATATGAATAAGCATTATTTTTTACTGGATTCACTCGTATAAAATCCTAAATCTGTCACTGATAATTGAAAGTAGGACGTCATTCGTCTATTGCACCAAGGTAACATCGGATATCTATTCTGAAGAGAGAGTCTCCCATAACGGGATTCCGATCCATTTTTCACTTCTTAAACTCTCTTATTTTTCAGTTAATTGTTGCATTTTATGTATCGTTTATTATTCTTCTATAGTACCATCTTTACTACTCCCTCCGATTCAATTTATGTGAACCCATTTGATTGGGCACGGAGTTTAAGAAAAGAGAGAAGACTTTGGATCTTGTGGTGTAAAATGAGGCACATATATTTTGTGTGGCTATGAATCATTGTGTAAAGGTAATTTGTTTCCAAATAAGGAAAGGGGTCATTCTTTTTATCACGGACTAAAAAGGAAATAGGTTCACATAAATTGAAACGGAGGGGATATTTTATTTTCCAACAGGAATAAAGTGACGGTAAAGTGTGCGTTATTTAAATATTCTTGTAATGCAATCTATCTCCATTTGGTGAGCCAAAAAAAAAAATCTATCTCGGTTTTACGTATCTAATTTTTTTATTACTATATAGTTAATTAGTTTTTTTAGAGGAGTAGATACTCATAAACTTTTGGATTTTTTTTTTTAACATAAAAGGAAGCTTATATTGCTTAAACAAAAGTATTACACAGTTTCAATATAGTCCCGAAGGACATTACTACTGTCTATAGCAGCGAGACTATTACAACCATTGCTAGGTAAATACTTGGTACCAAAACATAATCCTTGCTTGTTTTTTTCTAATTCAGTTTTAACAAAAAGTGGTGGACGAGCAAGGTACACACATCTTGAGGGCTTGAAGTGGCTAATAGCTTCCTTTGCTAGTTGATGTGCTACGCCATTTCCTTCTATGAAATTATGCTTGATCTTTGGTATTTTCAATTGGAACATTAATGACCTGCAATTGAGCAACGTATAGTTAGTTCTAGAAAAAGAGTGATTAATGTGCAATATCTTAATTCGGGTCAATTGGTTTTGTGGCTCTTTACAAATTTATTTTTAATTTTAGGACCCTAACTTTCTTTTACACATGAGATCTGTCTTTTACGCATAAAAAATTTAAAAGATCATTTTCTTAATTTTAAAATTATAAAGGGGCATGCACATTTTTCTATCCATCATCCTAATTTTCTTTTATTTCAGTCCATCTTCCCCAAAACAATTTTACCCTACATTTCTGGTAAGAACTGTTGAGGTAATTCACTCGAACAATGACTTTTTAAATACTTACGAGGAAAATATAACGTTATATTTACGGTAAAACCCCGCAGTTTTAGCTTAAATTTTGTATTTTGAGTTAAAAGCTTTGTTTAGTATACTAGGTTAGGCGGGCCCATGTCACTACAGGCCCAATATTGTAAAAGTTGAAACTATTATTTTTATTTACTTTTGTTTTTATTTAAAATTGCAGTCAATATAAATTACTGTACGTATGGAATTAGGAAGACAACACTGCATGCTAATTGCAGGGTGCCAATTTACATACATTTCAGATTCTTTAATCCACAACGACATCACAGTATCAGATGCTTAAGGTGCCAAAGTATTTACATCATATATGGATAGTTATGCACATATGGGAAAGGTATTCACATATTGGCTGACGATAATGCTTGTTTTATGTGGTGTTTAATCTTCTTTCTGGCCTTCTTCTTAGCATGTCATGAAAAAAAAACACCTGTAAACAAAGCAGTAATATCTGCTTTAGTGAGTAGCCAAGGTAGAAGAAAAGAGGTAATTGCATAAAGATGAAATATTTTTATGAATCTCAGCAGATTTAATTTTGAAAAGAGAAGACTTAGTATTTGAGAGGACAATGCATAACGGAGTATGATTTGTTTATCTTTGCATATGGATTCAGTGCTGCTTGAATTTTCTTATCGAGGAAAACTGATGCTTTTGTTTGTTGTTTTGAATAGTAAGATATTAGGCTGAGCTATTTTCAGAACTAATCATCCTTAAGACATAGGATTACACAGGCAACCAGAAGAAGCTCTAGTAAAATCTGACTGATATAAAAGAGTGAAAAAAGAGATCCATAGAGGACAAAAGATGCTCCAATCATGGGCAAAAAAGAGAGGTTATGTGCAAGTTTCATAAGCCAGAGACAGTCGGAAAGACCCACGTTATTGATATTTGTTCAATCTTACCTATTTGTTAAAATTAAAACTTAACTTGCATGCCATCTATTGGTCTTTAAGTACTGGTTTTGCAAACCATTAGTTGGTCTCATTAAGTCTAAAGACTAAAGCCTTCAATCACACAATGATTCTAGAATCATAGATCTAGTGGATCCATGTAAGTATAAAGAAGCTCTCTTGCATGAAATAACAAAGACCAAGAAGAAAAGATTTTGCTCACTCTTAGAGCTAAGAAGTGCTCACAATCTTGGAGATTTTAAATGGGGGTATGAAACAAAAAAGAAAGAAAAGAAGAAAACCAATAAGAGAAACCTCAATGCTATCGTGAAAATACATCAGGAAGAGCCTTTTAGAGAAAATCTAACGACTTTTTACATGTTGGTTTATTAGGCTGTCATTTTATTGAGATATAACAAAGGAAAAATAAGGTCCATAATATATCTACGTATCATTGTCATTGCAACCCCTAGTTGCAACAGCTATTTTCAAATAAAATTGTGGTTCGACTTCGATACTCGATAAATTTAGCGTAATTAATGCATTGAAGCTTAGAAGTTAAAAGTAATGCAGATTTTGACTTTTAACCGGCCAAACTAACCTAATAACTGTATCAGTATCCAGAAAGCAGCGACAAAGACAGATCTAACTGCATTCAGAAAAAGCAGCAAAAAGTGGCTTCCATCGCGTCCCAAAAGAGTAGCAAAAGGTCTTTAACTGGCGAAAAAACCAACAAATAATAGTGAGTATTTGTTTTTTACACAATATATCAAAAATGTTAATTTTTTTTATAAAAGATAATCTCGGCATATCATGCGCAAATTTTAAACACCAACTGAGTATTGCATATTTTCCTCATGAAATATTTACTGACAGATTTTGAGAGAAATGTAGACAATTTGTAACCAAAATGGAGAAACTTTGGACGAAAACCAAGTGAAGGCCGAGAAGCAGCTAATAGAAATGAATGATGACGTAGAAAGAAGTTTAAATACCTTTCAGAATTTTTTCGGGGGAGAAATTTTTGTTTCCACCCCATGCTTGTGGTACAAAGTATTGCCTTTGCTTTTGTGTGGCGGTCCTCTCGTTCCTCTATACCGATGTGTATAATTTCATGCTTGCTTCTCTCTGCAGCGTCCATCGTGGTGGATGCCATCTGTGGGTTGATCACATTGTCTTTGTCTGTAAAAGACAAAACAAATAACTTTTCTGCGCTGCATCCTGATTTTTAATAAATATCTTGTTCATTTGAATGTTGAATATCTTGCCAGTCAGTTGTTTTGGACGTTCACAAGGGACAAAATTTGCTTCTAGAAGAATGAGATTGATTATTCATGTATCAAAAGAGAGTCATCTAGCAGTAGGTACTTGTTTGTGATTTTTTAAAGTTTAACAGCAATACGTACCTTGACATAACAGATATCATAAATCTTTTCCGTTGTAATAACATTTTTGCTGCAGACTCGTCTGAAATCACTGTTGTCGCAGAACCGTTGTTGTCAATCGCAGTGACTTCAAATTGGCATCTTTTACAAAATAAAGTAATGCTAAGTTAGATGGGTAAAAAATAGATAATATTAAACTTTGTGCAGAATCTTGTAGCATTTATACCCGGATACTATAAGCTGGGTGGATCGACGATAGTTAGTGTGGTAAAATGATCTCCATGAAGTAATTCTTGTAAAGAGCTCTTGCAGTCTGAACCAGCTATGAAACAGAACAGCTGGTTCTCATTTGGTAGTGTGAGTTCAGCTTTTATGTGAAATATATAACCTTATAAAATTTAGGAACGCAGATTTGCATTTTTTCTAATTACAAAAGCAATTAAAAATTCAAAAGAATACATGTAAATTTTTATCGTTCATGATTTGTATTTGTTGTTAATCCTGTCGCGTAATGATAGAAAGTATAAGTATATTACTTTGATAGTAGCAATTTCATATATGTATTTATAATTGCACACCATCAAGAAGTGATAGTCTAATTGTCTAACCTATTTCAGGTAGAAGCAATGAGTCTCTCATGACAGGACGACTCAACTTGCTTAAGACATTAGTCGCCTCCGAGTAATGCATTAGCAGAGTTGGTAACAACTGAGCTGGCAGCAAGATGTTGTCTGCTCGATTCAGCTTTGTTTGCTCGTACTCGCTATGAAGGCCTTTTTTATTAGCTTGCATCATATATAATTCACACATGAAATTAAAGAATACAGATAAAAAATATAATATTTACACATAGTCATCAAAGTCAGAAAATATTAATTAAGGAGTAGAAGAGTAGTACTTATCAAGCCCTGAAATGCTTCATAAACGCAAGGATAGACAAATTCACAGTGGAATGCAGAAAATGCAGTAATAATGAAAATAAAACACAATAAAACAACAAAGTATTAAGAAAGATGAAAATTTACACCAATTTGAGTGCTTGTGGCAGTTACGCATGCGACGACTAAATAACTAACAACTTGATCATTGTTATCTCAACCTTGTTGAAAAAGATGAAGCATTTGTTTCTTTAGCATTTGGAATACAAAACCCTTCATTTTTCTTCTTCTGAAATTCAAATCTTTAGCGAAAAGTCTGAAGCAAATAAAATTACTATCATAATATGTTTCTTTACAGTTAATTACTCGAATAACATTTTTCAATTTAGCACACAACAGCTATAAAATTCAAAGAATCAAGAAAACACAAAAACCAGCAAAACCAGAAAGTATGAAAGAACCCAAAAGATTACGAAACAGGAAAAAAGGATTAGGATAAAACAGAACAAAATTTGGGGAAAAAATCTGGAAAGCAATAGTGGAAGCGAATTGAAGAAGATGAAGTGAACAACTCCAAACTTTATTAAGAACTATGAAGCTATACCCAATTTTTTTCTTTTTATTAGGCTTAACACCTATATCAGTGTCACAATCGGGCTGAGATAGAAAAGCATTTAGGGCTTGGAAAAGAGGAAATCAGCAACAAACAATTGTTGCATGTGGCTGAAGCTTATCGAAAATGGAAAATACCAAAGGCAAAGAGAGATTCTACTAAACAGGAAATTTGAGGTTGAAGATGAAGGGTTTCTACGGCCATTGAATAGCGAACTAAGAAGAAAGAACTCAAAAGAGGAACATACATACAACTTGAGCAAATACACCCTTGAGAGTAAGAACGCCAAATAGGAAGGAGGCCAGTAGAAACTAAAAGATCACTCTTTGAAACTTACTGAGAAACAAAGGTCAAGACTAAAGAGTATCTCATTCTCAGCCAACACCTGCAGTGATCCACAATTTGCACGTAGGATTTGTGTAAATAATCCAATGCCACGTATACAAATTAGATATAAGTAATAATGTTTAAAGTCTAAAATGCCCTTATCCTTTTATACCATGAAACAGCCGGGTCGAAACCTGAGCTTTTCTAATATATATAGAAACCAGATAGGTATGCCCGTGCAAAGCCCAGGCCCAACATAAAAGTCAATACAATATTCTAAGTTGGCCTCAAACTATAAAACTAAAGAGCAGAAATTTAAGCAATTAGTTTTCTTGCTTTGAGTAAAGATAAATTGATGGACGATATTGAAGACGGCATTAATTTGGGATAAAATGTAAATTTATTTGGCGTACTGATTAAATGAGAAACAAAGGATAGAGAATAGCACACCAGCAAGAATTCATACTGACAAAACTAAAAATTTGTAGCCCGGTGGATTAGCAAGATGACTAAGGTCCAGTTGTTTTAGTGCTACATATACTTGATAATAATACCATTCACGCCATCTTGATATAACTTGTTCTATTTATGCAAAGGAAAAAAAATGTGAAAAGTCATACTATTCACTTTCCGCAAGATTTGCAAACAAAATCACTTAGCTAATAAAAATATCACATTATGTCTCTTATATCACTCTAAACTCACTTGATTAAATTTTCTACCCACATGCAACCCAGTTTTTTTCTTAAAACAACTCAATCGAGCCACCAATTTTTGAAGTGAACTATCAAACACAACCTACAAATAAAGCACCAATAGCATACTCAGTAGATGAAAAGCAATTTATCATGACTAACCTTTGAAAGGAATCGACCAGACCAAAATGACAAATAGACAAAAGGAAAGGACATATATTGGTCATGATTATAAAAATAAGTGCGAATAAAACTAATAAATATGTATATAGCACTGAATAAGACAAATAGAAGAATGATCTTCACACTTATCAACATGTACCATTTACCAAAATTAACTTAGAAACATAATCAGGCACTCGGAAGGTCCATGATTTCCAAAAAAATCTAAAATTCCTCCTTCCCGTGGCCTTACAAACAAATCTTCAAAATTCTCCCTGAAAAGCTTATTAGTTTCTCATTTGAAGTATAACTTACAGATTAAGGCAAAAACTTCAATAGACAAACCAAGCACTGTCAAAAGTATTTTTATATATAATATAACATAAAACAAAAAAAATAAAATTAATAAGTTAGTCAAAAATTCTTCTTAATGTTCAACACTCTCCGTGAGCCCTCACTTGGCTCGATCAGGAAATTTTTAATTTCTATCAACTTATTTTTCTTTATGGCTTTTGTTCTTGCTCAGAAGATCATGAGCAATCTTTACCCAAGGTACAAATTTAGGCGTTCAAATCTTTCTTGAATAGTCACGCCTCACTTCTATCACATACTTTATAAACTACTCCGGTTGTTAACTATCACAATATTGTAGGGAGAGAATTTACATTTATTATTTTAAAAAAAGCTCCACCAACATGATTACTCTTTCAACTTGATCACACCCTATCAATTGATCCACAAAATGTTAGTCCTTTCATCTTTGTGCATGAGCAATTAAAATACAGAAAGTAATGATATTAATTTTAGAATAAAAATCTTGAATATATTGACTGACCTGAGGTTTTTTAGGCACACATTTTCCTCATTGCACACCTAAAAATTAAGAATGGATCAGAAACAAAAATCAGCAAGTAGAGAATTGAATGATCTTTTGTAAGAGATGGTGAAATATGGTTCTTTTATATAAATCAAAATTGACTTTTCTTATTAGTTGCATCAGAATCATATTCATCCATGTCCATAGGATGCACCAGAATTGTGACTTTCTCCATGCTTTTGCCACATGAACTTTCATATACATTCCTTACAGTTGTCACCGTTGTAATTGTAAACTGTTCACTTTGCCAAATTCTATGCCCTTTACAGTATTTTTCATAAAATTTTTGGAAATATATTTCAATTGAATGAAAAAATGACAGAAAAATGTCCTAGTTGATATCTTATTTAAAAACATATATCCAAGTTGATAAGTCTTATGTTTTGAGCGCATACGTTTGACATATTATTTGAATCTAAGATCCTTATTCAATATATTGAGAACATATATTCTTCCCCACTTATCATTCTCCTCTTTAACTGTTCATAACTACTTTATATATTTTTATTGGTAAGTTATCCCTCTTTTTTGTGATTCGGACTCCGAATTAGAATTACATTACGTGCCAAAGAAAATAACCGAAAAGTAAAGTATGTAAATACTTTTTCTTTCAATTACATCTGAAATAAATTAAACAAATTTTATTATAAAATAGTTGCTCGAAATTAAGAGGTTAATTCAGATTTGCTTGAGGCAACATGTTCTTTTCTAGTAAGTTAGTAGTAAAGAATTTTAAGCAAATGCAATATGAATGCTGACACGACATAATAGAATACTTCTTTAAAGGCATTCCTGATGTGGCTCATGTTGTGACCGGGCAACTATATCTAGTTTAAAAAAATCATATCGTGATTGTTTTATAAGCTCACAACCTTCTACATAGTCTCTTCATGTTGCCTTAATCGACAAGAGTTAATGTATGTTAGTACATTAAAGGTGCAAACTGAAAATACCCTTTCTTATTAATTATTTTCGATTAAACTATAAAATAATTAAAAAACTAATTATCAATTTATCACCTATATGATCTTAAAATCACATACTCCACATCGATCAACGAATTAAGCACATTATATATGCAACTCCTCAAAATATTTTAATAATTGAAATAACAAAATAAAGGAAGTAAAAATAAAAAAGTTGTCATTTCGGATCAATGGATCAACTTCAAACCTCATTCAAGAGGAGGTTAGGAAGAAGAATTAAAAGAGAAGTAACAAAAAAGATAAAATTTGATCTGGGAAAGAACACAATTATAAGAGAATATGTGAGAAATTATGTGCAGTCGGGCAATGTAAACAAAAATCTAAAAGGGGGTTGTATATTAAAATTTTCAATCAGCGATCATCAAAATCGTCACCAATTTTACACCTCAAAAATAAAAGTTTCAAAAGAGCTACACCTCAATATTAGTAGAGAATCGACCTTCTTATTGATATAATAAATAAAGAAAAGAAATAAAAATACATAGGCATTTAAAAAAAACAATTGAAGGGGTTATACCTTAATATTTTAATTCAGCAGTTTGAAAACTCCAAAAGTGCTCCATCTCGCAAGAACGAAGCTGAGCGTTTTCTTTAATCGGCACAAGTACTTAGAAAGCAGTAGCACACAATTTTATCATTATCGTGAAACACAGTTGCATTCGAAGTCTGATTCCTTCTTAATTCGTTAAACCACCAATGTCAAGAGCACAATCCATCATCGATTTCACCACCTTTAGTCAAACTTCGATCTTCTATTTTATTTACATAACAAGAAAAGTTAGTCCAAAATGCTTGAACAAGTCATCAGTCTGAGCATAAAGAGTGGAAAGAACTGAAAAGAAATAAAATTACAAGTAAACATAAAAAATTGGCAGATACTTCATCAATTCACCTCTGCCTTCAACTATGGGTAAGAAGATGTTAACCAATAAGATACCGCAGTGAAATAATTAGAAAACAAATAGAAGAAAAAATGAAAGACGATTGGACAAAGTAAAGGTTAGAGGAAGTTGGAGGACTTTGCTGTGGAGGACTCTATATGAAGAATATCAGAAAGGTTACGTGTTATGAGCAATAAAAATTCAATTTGGGTCAGCTGAAATTACAAATATACCCTTGGTCGATCATCTTTTCTTTTCTATATAATAGAAAAAATATCAATATTCAATCCATAATCTAATAAACCAAAAAAATTGTGATCCAAATGGAATCCATAAAGTAAAATTCTGCCTTCATATCATTCCAGATTTTGAGCAAATATAAGAGTATTAAAATATGATGAAGCGTTCATAAATTTGAAAAGGTGGTCTTTTTAAGAACATATTCTAATGTGCCTATAAGAATATGCTTGTCAATTTTATGAATTTATTATCGTTGGGAAATGTCTTTTGAATTGTTTACTAGAGAACAGAAATAATTTTTTTTTTTTTTTTGATTTTTCATCCGGTATCTACTATTTAATTGGAGCCTGACTAAATCCATATTCGCGTCGGGAATGAAAGTCCTACGCTGAGGGGTAAAGCATTCCCTAACAAAAATGACTTCATACTTAGAACTCAAACCCGAAAACTTTAGTTAAGGATGAAAGAATACTGCATCACTAACTGTTGGTGAAATAAGTTGGTTTTATGCGTATGGGCAAAGCTATAAGTTTTAAGAAAGAAAACTTTGAGGAGCTAACACGTGACGTCTTGTAATGTTTAAATGGCTAAAATCATGTGGCGGACAGAGAATATGTAACTGTCATCTAAAGCAAAATTTGAACCCTTATGCCACTGCATTAAATCTTCTCTCTCTTTTTTCCGAGAGGATTCAATAAATCATAAAGAAAATATCTTTTTTTTATTTGTACAATATAATTTCGGCGAAGAAAATGCTCGCATTGAACTTTATATATTTCTAAATTTTTAGTTTCATTAGCCAAGTTTGATTCAAAATCTCCATTTCTTCAAAATTTTCCTCTTGATGGAACTTACTGTCTTCAGCAAAGTCTTCTGCATTGGCCTTCATTCTGGTGATTGGTGCCCTGAGATTTTCAAAGTCCTTTCGGCGGTTTGCAGTTTATTCCACTAATTGCCTCAACAGTAAAAATACTAGAGGGGGAGGTGAATTGTTTATTTTTAAACTTAATAGCTAGCAGTTGACTAGTTTTACGATTAGTCGACTAGATATAAGAACTTGATACTAGTAAAGACAGAATTTAAGATGCAAAATTTAAATGCAGGAATTAAAGACACCAGAATTTTTACACTAGTTCGGGTTCAATGTGAATCTTAGTCCAGTC